CTAATTTACAATGTTTACATCAAATGTTAAGTTCAGCCATTAAAATATTTTTCCTGAGTTGTCTGATTTCATAATCAAGAGAATGTAGACAAGTGTTCAGTATGGGTATTAAGTTTCCTACCATGTCTCCTAAAGTTTATTGTGTTGAATTTGAGAGTACGTGTTGTTTGTTAATTCCAAAGTTTGTCATCCAAACATAATTTGGTATTGCAATCCCAGAGGCATTTCAAGGGCCAATTCACTGGACAACCAAACAGGTGAATTCATATTCGTGTCATTTCAGTATATGTATTCATATGCCACCATTGTACATGCCCTAAGGGCATGTACAATGCATAGCCTTAAGATGATGCCTCGCATGCCATGTAGGATTAGATATGACGTAAAGTAGGTTCGGATAGGAAAGCGGGATCCTCTCCAAGAGGCGGGTGCTTGAAGAGAAAAGTGTGGTCTGGTGACAAAAGTTGAAAACATTAGAGTGAAAAGTAAAGATGCATGTGTACTAAAGTTTTTATTTTTTATTTCTTAATGAGTCCATTAGTGATAACTTGCATTAAAAAAATATAAATGCCTCAAATTACTTTTTATTATAGGATATATGTATCCATATGTCACCATTGTACATGCCCTAATGCGAGTAGCACATGGTACTTTCCCTCGTGTCGACACGCCTCGTGTGCCTGGGGTGCAGAGACGAACGACGAATGGGGAGGCACCAGCGTCCATGGCGCCAGGGCACACCTCACCCCTATGTACGGATGAAGTTTCTGCTACCCATTTCCGGATCCGGATGACACTGCGTCGGCAGTTCGGCACGGAGACGCCTACTCGAAAGATCTATGCTCGCATGCAGGCTCGCGCCACCGCCCTCCACGCTTGAGCCAACGAGAATCTGACACCTTCGTCCGTAGCGCAGCACACCGCAACAGCCAGCACCGCACGTGTCCTCGCGCCCACGCCTCCGTCGGCCACCGCATCGCCTCAAAGATCATACTATATAATGGAAGACAAGCATATCTCCAAGCAGCACAACTGATAGAGATAGCGATTGATACCAGCAGGTTTGCAGAACAGAGAAGAAAGAGACAGTGAAGTGAGAGCAGCTGCTAAGCCATGGCTCAAGCACAGGCGACGCGAGGCGACCCAATGAAGGCCCAGCAGGAGCAGCCGGAGCCCATCCAGTACGGCCACGTCTTCGCCGTCACGGGCGACCTGGCCGTGCAGGCCATCGCGCCACGGGACGCGGAGGCCATGCGCACCGCCGAGGAGAGCGTGCAGGGCGTCCCGGTCCCGCAGGCCAGCGGCGGCGGCTTCAGCGCGGCGGTGGCCATGGAGACGGCCGCCGCGTACAACCAGGCCGTCGGCGCCGTCCGCCCCGGCCAGGCCAGCGACGCGGCCACCAAGCAGGGCATCACCGTCACCCAGACCGCCGTGCCCGGCGGCCGCATCGTCACCGAGTTCGTGGCGGGTCAGGTGGTCGGGCAGTACTCCGTGGCCGACCAGGCGATGATGCAGCAGCAGCAGCAGCAGGTGGTGGAGGAGGACGCGAGCAAGGTGACGATCGGCGAGGCCATGGAGGCAGCGGCCCTGTCCGCGGGCGATCGGCCCCTCGAAGAGGCCGACGCGGCGGCCATCCGCGCCGCGGAGACGCAGGCGCAGGGAGCGGACGAGGTCATGCCCGGCGGCCTGGCCGACCAGGCGTGGGCCGCGGCGAGCGCCAACGCCTGGGCCGAGCGCGACGAGGACAAGATCACGGTCGGCGATGTCCTCTCGGTACGTTCGTTACCCGACTTGCATATGCTCCTTTTTTCTGAGTTATATAGATGAACTGGTTGTAAACTCGTTGCGTGTGCTCCATCCCGTGTGCAGGACGCGACGACGAAGCTGGCGGACGACAAGCCGGCGGCGAGGGAGGACGCGGCCAGGGTGGTGCAGGCGGAGACGTACAGCGACGCCGGGGCGCGCACCAAGGCCGGCGGGGTGGGCGCCGCGGTCACCACGGCGGCGAGGCTCAACCAAGAGGACGACGACGACGACGCTTGAATTTTCGCGTCGTGCCACGTCTCGTGTGTGCGCTGTACCCTCGGATCAGACGGGAACACGCAGAACAAGATCGTGTGTGTAACCTTTACAGGAGAGCATCCTGTTGAGTGAGGCGAATCAAGGCAGTAGTAGATTCAGCCAGCCTTGCGTGTAATAAACGAATGACAGTGTTGGCCCGTCTGTGAATCTGTACATGTTTTTCTTTTCTCTGCGGGTGTAGCAGTATGTCGTGTGCTTTTTACTCGATGTTTCGCTCAAGTTCAAGTCTGTTTCAGCTATTTGTCGAGATGTGTAAATTTGGGGATTTCGTATTTTGACATTCCCAGTGCTGCCATGCGAAGGGGGCACATTCCGGTTGCCGCTTGCGCCGTGTCTAGGGCACGCAGCGAGTGCCAGCCGTCGTGACTCTGCCGGCAAATGTCGGTGGCGATTCACATTTCACAGAGTGCATCGGCCTTTATGGTTGGATGGATCCGATGACAGTGTCCTTGTCTTTTAAGGCGTTACTGCTGAAGATCTTCCTCATTCATGTGGTGTTAATGGTTGCTGAAGATCTTCCTCATTCATGTGGTGTTAATGGTTGCTGCGAATATGGTCCTTCCTCGTGAAGATCTTTCTCATCCATGTGGTCTACGAATATGGTCTGAGTTGTAGTTAGTCAATCGACCCTTCCTGCAAGCGTTGCTGTAAATATGACACACAAGAGAAACATTGATTAGATAAGATGACATTAATTGGACAAGATGAATAAAGTAACCTCAATCACAAGCCAAGAGAAATATTAATTGAACAAGATGAATAAAGTAACCTCAAATCACAAGCCAACAGATGGATTTCAAGCATTCAATAACAACAGAGGAAAAGATATAAAGATAGTTCATTCAAATCTCTAATTGAGTTGGGTCTTGAGAAATTGAGTTGGGTCTTGAGAGATAGGTAAATCTTCCCCAATCGAAAGAATGCAGGAATCTTGGTGATTCACTTGGGGAATCCTTCTCCCATTAGGAGGCCTCGACAACGCTGGATGGTTCTTCTCAATTTGAAGGTCTGAAGGTCTTATTCCTCAGAGAGAATATAAAAAGAAGCAAAATTCTCTCAAGATCTATTCATATACAAGGAGCAAAAATCCTATTATGGTAAGGTATGAGACAAAAATTATCAAAGATCTATTCATATACAAGGAGCAAAAATCCTATTATGGTAAGGTATGAGACAAAAATTATCATGGATGTATAAATAGATTAAAGCTAAAACCCATCAGATAGAGCGGGTACGGGTATGGGATCGTAACCCATACCCATATACCCATGTACTTATATAAAATCTGACAAGTATGGCCTAATTATCTCTACAATGTGTCATAAATTTGTGAACTCAGAATGTAGGACTATGTGTTGTTTTTAATGACTACGTAATATTATTTTGATGTCTTGTTGTTTATGAGAAACAAATGTTGTTTATTAAATGTGTTGTTGTTTATGATGTGTTTTTGTTTATAAGTATGTGTTGCTGTTATAATGTGTTGTCGTTTATAAATTATGATTATATGTTGTTGTTTATGACTACAAGTTGTTTAAATTGATACTTTGCAAACATTGAATAATTTTACCCACGGGTACCCATCTACCCTGTCGGGTAACGGGTATGAGAAAAAAGTTTACTCCTTGACTGATATGGGTAAGGGTGATGGGTAAGCTTAGAAGGGACGCGTAAGGGCATGAGGCATCTTCACCCATATCCAAACCCTGAAGGTGCCATCCATGCTCTATCCAAACAGTCAAGTTGCAACAGAGGCTCTGCAATTGCTCTCTGCAAGAACCGAATAGACCGAAAGTGCAATTTTTGCACCATTTCATCCGTTGTTTTGTCTTCTTCCGTCACCTCTTCCACACTTCCCTCTTGGATGGTGTTGTCATCCTCTTGTGCTTGCACTCCTCAAGGCACATGAAAGCTCCCGCAAACCTATACATGCACGAAGGGGGTTCAAGTAGTATACCATCCAAGAGAGAACCAAGTAGACACGCACAAAGGACATAATTCACCTTGTCATATGTGATGCGTGTGTCCCTTGGCAATGGAGCCAAGTCCATGGTGATGACACTAGGGCGTCCCGCACCATCTCCTCCCCCTTGAGAAAGATCCGTCCTCGGATCGGGATCCTCATCATCGTGGAAAAGATTTGGTGTGACCGTTCGGTATAGGACGCTCACCAAGAACTCGAGACCTACACATGCACAAAGCAAAGCAAAGAATGTGTGTGCATGGTACACAAATGCATCATCCATCATGATGCATCTCTTCTCTTGCCCATCACCATTCGCACAAAACATGATCAATGAATATATGGTGTATGCATAGCATATGCCATGACAAGTATGTGCATCATGCATATTGTGCAAAGAAGGAAAGCAAGCATTAACACGTCAAGTCTCCAATCATACGTGAGAAAACTATGGGGGCATTCATGTTCAAGAATAAAGGCATTGTTGCACTCAATACATAGCAAGTAGCAATCACCCAACACGAGAGAGGCAACATATGGAGTAATTTGACAACATGCAAGAAAAAACATGTGAAGAGCATGGAAATGATTGCCATCAATGCATTGGAAAGAGAAAGTACTCACCATGGGAGATGCAACACACAAAGTAATCGTATCAATCATTTCATGTGAAGAAATGGTATGCATAAGCAATGCACAAGACAAAGCACAATCTTCAAAGCAAAGCATGGTAAAATCATCATAATTACATTGGCGAGAAGTCCTACATAAAGAACAATTGGTCAAAATGATCGACTCTCCCAACACAAGCATCATCAATAGCATGGAACACAAATGAGGCATGGCAATAATAAGTGATGCCTCCACCAAACCTGCAAATACACATACAACTAATATAAAGGGTGGACCATGTGTAATGAAAGGATGGGTCACAAAGGCATGTAATGGCAATAGCAATGATCAAGGCATGCAATTCGAACATGATAATATGGACACAAGATCTGTAATGGAGGAGCTGGTGTCACGAGACTCGATTGCAAAGTCACCGGCATTTCTGAAACATCACCGGTGTTGCATTTTTGCATTTTTCTAAAACATCACTAGTGTTGCGGAGGCGCGGGTCTGCAAGCTCACCGGATTGCAATGGCGCCGACATTTCTGAAACATTGTCGGTGTTGTGGAGGTGCGAGTGTTGCGAGCTCACCAAATTGCTGCGTTGACAGCATTTCTGAACCATTACTGGCGTTGTAAAGGCGTGAGTCTGCGAGCTCACGGGAAGGCAAGATCACCGATGTTTCTGAAACATGTCCTATATTGCGACGCTTTGCAACGTCATAGATGTTTTTAAAACAAACCTCTTGTTGCAATTGCAACGGCCGCGGGCCAAAGTTAGAAGAGGGGTCGTACGGTGAGCCACATAGATCAGACGGCTCGTGACTCGGTTGATCTTTTAAAAAGATCAACCGGCCACGCGTAGCAAGCCCTGAAAACATACACTAATTTAATGGATATTTCTGAAGAAGAAAAATGCTACAACAGATGGCATGTAGACCGTGTTGTGGTTCTAAGCCTGACAGTAGAATGGGGGTAGGAATGTAGAGGCAAGATCCTAGCTGTGGAGGAGTTGTACACGCGAGTTTTACGAGTTCAGGCCCTTCTCGGAGGAAGTAACAGCCCTACGTCTCGGAGCCCGGAGGCGGTCGACTGGATATATGCGTGTGCGTTACAGGGGGTGCGAACCCTTGTCCCGGATGAGGGGGGTGGCTTATATAGAGTGCGCCAGGACCCCAGCCAGCCCATGTTACAAAGGGTTCAATGTACATTAAGGCAGAGCGTTACTGGTAACGCTAGTAATAAAGAGATATAAATGATCTTTAAGGTTACAGAGTGAATGACCGACCGTTGTCATCCTGAGTGACGTTAGGCCTTCTACACTCCGAGTGGTTTCTTGTATCGTCGAGTGGTTGTTCGCATAGTCGAGTGTCTTCTATACTGTCGAGTGGAACATAGCGTCACGGTCGAGTGGATGATGATTTTGCTTCGACCGCTTCTGGTTCCTTCAGAGATGTCCTTGGGGAGGGTATCTTGGACAGATCCATGACCCTACCCTAGGTACATAGCTTCATCATTAGCCCCCAAATGGATCAGGGTTTGAGTGAGGAAGGAGTTGGGAACACTTCCGACTCATTCTTTATGCTATGAGTATAACTTGTTCTGGAACAATGAACCGAGGAGACAACATCAACTTCTTTTTCAGTCGCCTTGGTCCATTCTTAGTTTTTGTCGAGTGAACTTTCACGGTAGAATTCCGAATGATAATGTGGAGGATGTTTTCAGTCTGACCAATTACTCTACTCTCCGCGGATTTCGCGGGATTCGAATTTCGGGAAGCGCGCCAGACGGGCGAGGCCGTGGTAATCGGGACGGATTAGGCAGGTCTCCACGATCTCCGCGCCACCTTTTTTGCCACGTACTGCGCGCGTGACTGTTACGGGATTTGTTTAGATCGCCTGGGCCTACCAGTCAGTCACTCAGGGAATGACCTTATAAAAGGCACCTGACCGGGTCTCTGCACCGTGCGCTCCCATTCTCTTTTCTTCTTCCTCCGACCTCTCCGCCACGCTCGCTTTTGCTCTCGTCGTCGAACCCTCGCTCGAACTCGATCCGCCGCCATGGGAAAAGAGAAGACGGTGGCACTGGAGCGCGCGAAGAAGGCGACCGCGAAGGCGAAGAGCAAGCGGACCAGCCGGGGCGGATCCTCGTCGAGATCCGGCCTGCCACCGGGCTGGATCCAGGGCGACTGGATCCACTCGATGATCAGCCAGGACAACCTCGACGACCTGGTGGAGGGGGGACCGATCCCCCACAAATCAGCGCGGCTCCCGGGGAACGAGACCGAGACGCAGCCAAGGGAGGGTGAGCGTGTTCTCCTCGCCACCCATGTCGATCGCGGATTTTCTCTGCCTCCCCATCCTTTCTTTCGGGGCTTTTTGAACTT